GCGTGTCGCCGGGGCGGGTGAGCTGCAGCCCTGAGTCGCAAAACCCCGGCGCTGCAGCCGGCAGCCCCTCGCTGCCCACACCTGATTTTCAGCCTCTTCCTCCTTCTCCCTGGGTGGCGGCAGAATTGGGGCGTCTGGTTTTGGGAGGGGGTAAGAAACCTGCTGAATCTGCTCATTTTTTCCAGATCTTCAGAAAAATCATCACACCTAGTGTCACCCCCGTTTGGCTACAAAATATTTCTTTGAAGGAAGACTAAATGTTTTCATGCTTTGAGTGCAGTCATCCCTGCCCTAACAAGAATGTTTATTTATATCTTACTCCTACCAGCTGTAAATTCAATAATCATTGTTCCGGCAGGAGCATTTGAAATGGATCTGTCCTTGCTTTTCTCACGCTGTAACTCATTACTGGCCATTGAGTAACCTCTGATCCCTATCCAAAGAACCAAATAAACAATCATGAAATCCTAAGATGAAGGTTTTTGAGAGTAGACTATGTTAGGCTGGGGATTTTGGGAAGGCATCAGAAGTTTGGGAAATGGATACCCAGGGAGCTGCTGGAGGATTTGAGCAGCTAGCTCCTGCCAGCTCCGTAACAAATCCCAGAGATTGTGTTGTATTGCCACTATCTGTCTCTTTTTTTTTTCTTTTTTTTTTTTTTAAATCATCTGTCTGCAGCTTTGCTGGACCCGTGGGACTGGGGGCAGCGTCCTTGCCTGTGGATCTGGAGGAGCCTGTCTGGGAGGCACCCGCAGCCAGTCGCTTTTATCCTCGTCCCGTGGGTGTTTAACGTCAGGGGGGGAGCCCTGAAGTAAGGGACAAGCTGACAGGATGGCTGCCATCTGACTGCGCTAGTCAAGGCCTAAAAAGTTGCAGAAAACGGACGCAGGCTTAGAAATAATTCACTTTATTATACAGAAAAGACGTGGGGAGAAAAAAAAAATCAAATCTGATTCTAACTGGGAAATATTTCTCCACTGTGTCAGAGGCTGGAGGGAATGAGGGGGCGAATCCTTCCGTGGCCGCCCCCGTGGCGCTCGCCCGGTCCCGCCGGCAGTTCGCCCCCTCCGCGTGTCTCTGGGCGCAGAGGATCTCAGGTAAGCACGGGGCCCGCTGGAAAGTCTCTGCTGGCGGAGGGCTCACGCAGTGAACACCCAGTGAACACGGGCTTCGAATCATCACCGAGTTTCGGTTGGGGTTCCCAGCCCTTGGCGGTGGGTTGGGTTGGGGCTGCACCCCCGGGGCAGCCCCTCGCGGAGCGGACACGGTGACTTGGGTGCCCTCAGCTTTTGGGACAGTGCTGGTTTCGGGACCCGCGATACAAGCTTTCCAGGGTTTTTTTAAAACACGCGATTAACTTTTCCTTTGATATAGTGAGGAGGTGACATCAACCTCCATGAATTGCACAACGCGGGGGTAGCTCCGGTTTGTTGGCGCCAGGACTGTCCCGCTTCCCCCTCATCCTCATCCTCGCAGGAAAACTGGCAGAGCGAGTCCTCTCGGATGTGCTTCCACCTGAATAAGGTCATCATTAGCCCTTAATTATCAGCTTTGTCCCTGCTCTGCTGAGGTGCAGACGCGTGACACGGATCTGTCTGGCAAATGGCGACACACACACAGAGTTATCGATAGAGCGTCGCGTTAACCCGAATCGGGAGCGCAGGCCCAGAGACCTGCTCCTCAACTTACTGCACTCGTGAGGCTCACGTAGACATGGGAATACAGTGCTCGGCTTCCTTGGAATCCAGTGGGTTTGTATCTCAGCATAAGTTTATCAAAAGCCTGTTTTTTCATCCATCTTATTAGACCTTGCCTTGGACACATTGCTCGGTCTTCACAAGTCACGAGTTGCTCAGAAACTGTTTTGCTTTAACTTACAGATACACGGATCAATATCCCCTGCTCTTGCTTTTCTTGGTGATCTGCATTAACACTAAAAAATTAAGATTTTTTTTTTTTAGAGTGCTTTACTTAATTATTTTCAACATTCTCATCTTCCTTTCATATCACAGAAATTGTTTTTTCCACATGATTAAAAGCAGTCTGCAGGAACTCAAGTTCCCTCTGACAGCTCATGCCATGGTTTCAAAGACCCACGCCTGCTTCTCTAACATGCATCCATCATTGCGATGCATTAACCATTCAGACTGCCAGAATGAGACCACTCTTTCTTCAGATAAATGGAGGAATTTTTTCCTTTTTTTTCCCTTTTTTATCCTCTTTTATGTTTATTTCTCTTTTCCAGTGTCCCGGGCCATCCTTTCCATAGTCAGAAAACTAGCCTGACTGTACAGCTGTACTTTGGAAAGCGCCATGTAAAATGGTATTGTGCTGGTCAGCAAATCTCCTCCCTGCGTATATTTAGACTGAGACATGCTGATTTTTTACTTTGGTGTCACAAACAAATATCTGCTGCCTTGTTTGATCTCCTGAGCGAACATCTGATTACAGCAACAGCAAAAGCAAGCTGGATTTTGTCCCACCTTCTTCTCGGTGACACCTCTGTGAGCTCGCCGAGGTCGGTGGCGTTGCACAACGTGAAGGACGGGGTGCAGTTTGACCTGCGAGTCCTTTGTCACCGGTCGTGATGTGCAGGTGGAGAGGCCTCAGCCCGGCTGCCAGCCTGGGTGCCCAGGTTTGACGGGAAAAGCCCTCGGATGTTTTTTCACATGGAAATGAAGCGTGTGTGGGGTCAGCGGGCGCTTGCACAGCCCAAGCTGACATCAGCGCTGCTGTGCGAGCCTGGGCTTTGCAGTCCCAGTTAGAGGGATGTGGAGGCAACGATGTATTTATGTTCACTTTGGGCAGAAAAATGTAAATGGGGCAGCTTTCAGGGCACATCCCAGCCTCTGAGCAGCAGCAGTTGTTTGATAGGGAAGGAGACCTGCTGCTCTTGGTTTACATTTTTTAATGCTATGAAAAGAGTTTAGACCTCATGATAAATAGTCTCTTAAGCATTTTTGAGTGAATAAAATGCATTTCTGCTGACATAAATGTCCTGTAAAGCAGGTGTTGTCAATAAGAAAGGACTTTGCACCATTTCCACTTGTTCCTACGCCATTTCTTAACCATTTGGCAGAGATTTAGGCACCTAACGGAAAAAAATGCTTAGCATGAAGCTCCCGAGTCCATTTTCATCACAAGCACGGAGTCGCTAGTGCTGTGCTGTTACACCAGGTTGCTGCTTACGACATTTTTGCTTCCAGTTTCCAATGCCAGCCCATGCAGTTGGTCCCTTCTGTCTCACCTGCCGCGGCCCGCCCGCCCGCCCTCGTCACCCAGAGCACCTGAGCTTTCCGTGCCGCCCCCGCGGGCGGGTGCTTGGTGCCTCCCTGCCCCGCTGGCAGCGGAGGATGGTGGCACGAGCCGGACCCTCGAGGTTGAAAAAGCTGCTCGTCGCGAAGGGCTGTGGCTGGCTGATCCGAGTGTTTGCGTGTCTCCGTGCAAGCACAGCGCTTCTCGTCCCCAAGCTTTGGAATTCAGCCCTTCCTGTCTTCAGCTGCCCCAGACGGAAGGTTCCCTCTGTCAAGGACCACGTGTTAATCTCCCAAATGTTGTGCCTGCTGCCTGTCAGCAAATAGAAGTGGGAGCTGGCCCGCTGAGCAGCCGGAGTAGCAGTGCAAGCAGAAACAGGTATTCTGCCTAAAAGCACAGACACGACGGCCTGGCTGAGCGATGCCAGCACGGTAAATCCCGAGGCACACGTCTGCACAGAATGGGACTTACTAAATAAAAGCGTTTATTAAACAAACAGCAAAGCACGCAGAATCAGCACATGCTTCTGCATATCGTAATGCTTTCCTAATTAAGTAGTTTGCAGAAGCTGGTATTTTTCATGGGTCCTACTTTCATTCCTTAACATTACTTAAGAGAAAAAAAAACACTAGGACAAAATGACACCACTTAATCGTTTGGGAACTCTAAAAAACATCATACTAATGAGTGTCTGTGCATTTACTGCTTTATGAGGAAAAGGGTAAAAATAAAATACTGTTGGTGCTTTATTTTGTGCAATAAATGAAGCCCCAGTCTCCAAGCCGGGGTCCCTGCGGCCTGCCCTGGCCCATGGTGGCGAGGGCTCCTCCCTGTTGCACCTGGAGGTTTCTCACCTCCCAGAGCTCGTCCGGGGCCGCGACCCCTCTCGGGTTTTTAACTGTCAATTTGGGCAAAGCGGGAGGAGAAACTCGGCCAGAGGCGCTGCCACAGCCTGCAGCGAGGAGCTACGAAACCAGAGTATCATGCTTTATGAAACCGTTGCTCCTCATAAACCCCAAAATAAATGTTAGTGTGACACTGGCCAGTGCAGCGCCCGACTTCTAAACTCCTTTTGAGCTCCTTCTCCTTCCTCCCCCAGCGTTTCTACTCTTTAATGAAGCGCAGGGAGCCCCCCGGTGCGGCACGGCCAGGGCCCGGTTTCCTCTCCGGGTAAGCCGAAAGGGTTTGGGAGGCGTCTCCTTGTGCGCGCTCCGCAGCTGCCGCGGGGATCAGCAGGGACGGGCAGCCGGGTTTCACTCTCCCTCCCTCGGTCTGGGCGCAGAAGCGGGAGGAGAAGGCGACGCCAACTCCCGGTTCAGTACGGGGTTACCGAGTCCGGCTCGGATAAAACCCGTTTAATCGCCAGCGAGATAAAGTCGTCTGCTCCGGGCGGTCAGCCGGGCCTCCTCCCAGCGCTGCTGACCCACCGAGACCCTGCACCGAGCCCCGCGCTCCTTCCCCTTCCCCGAGCAGGCACCGGGCCGGTCCCTGCGCTCTTCGCGGCCGCCCCCGCTCCCGCGGAATCGCCGCTCCTTTCCGGGTCGCCCGCCATGGCGGCGGCTCCCAGCACCCCCCGCGCGGGCCGCCCCGGCAGCCAATGGCAGCGCGGTGCCGCTAGGGCCGCCGGGAGTTGTGGTCAAGCGCCGCGGCGGTGGGCGGTTCTTCTCCCCTTTCCGAGCGCCGTGACGCAGCGTGCGTGCGTCGGCGCGGCGGTGCGTGCGCGCGGCGGCGGCGGCGGGGCAGAGGGGGGGGGGGGCGGCCGGCGGCGGCGGGGCCTGGCGGGCGGGGCGGAGCGGAGCTGCCCGCCGCGATGGAGCCCGACTCGGTGATCGAGGACAAGACCATCGAGCTGATGGTGAGTGACCCCCGCGCCGCCGGCGGCCCCCTCCGCGCCTTCCCCCGATCCCTTCCCACACACAAGTCCCCGTCCCCCGCCCCCCCCACGCCGGTAGGCCCTGCCGCCGCGCCCGGGCCTGCGGGCCCCGCCGCCGCCGAGGTGAGTGGCGAGGCCGCCCGCGGCCCCGGCCCGCCCCGCTCCTCCTCACGGCGGGGCGGGGGGGGATCCGCTCCGTTCCTCCACCGCGCCCGCCCCGCCGTCTTCCCGGCGCAGGCCGGGGCGCGCCGAGCGCTTCAATTAATTAATAATAATAATAATAATAATAATAGGAATAAAACTAGCAACACGCCCCCCTCACCCGCCACATATGGCAGAGCCGGTCCTGGCAGGCGCGGAAAATCGCGCCCGGTGTTGCGGCCACGCTGTAAAAACCGAAACCGAAATGCCCCGGAGCGCAGCGGCGGCGCCGGGCTCGGGCTCTTGCCGCCCGAGGCCCCCCCGGGACCGCCCTGGGAGGCTGGCGGGCCTCGGGGGGAGGGGATTTAAACTTCCAGCGTGAGGGTTTGGGGCTTCTCGGGCAGCTCCCGGCCTCCTGGAGCGGCACCGGTGCCGCAGCTCCGGTCCGGCAAACCCGACATTAGCTAACTAGAACTAATTGGTGTATTTGTTGTACCCCCTCATTAACGCTTACGCCGCTAAATTCGGGTTCGTGGAGAGGCGGCCAGATGGAAGCAATAGAAAGAGAAGGTCTGGGTTTTGGGTGTTTTTTTTTGTTTGTTTGTTTGTTTGTTTTTGTTTTTTTTTTTGTTTGTTTTTGTTTTTTTTTAGCATCTAAGCAAATCTTAGAACTCTGTAGCTAAATATTAGGGGGTCCTAGTTTTACTGCCTTAGGGAGGAATAAAATTAAGTTAGGAGCCAAGAGACACTAATAATCAGTAAGTATCTTCTAATTTATTTGTCATAAGCGTAATCTGCTTTCACATACAAAATTTCATGCAATACTGCAGAATGGGATGGTAAAATGTAAAAAAAATAAGGCCCTCTGAAGGTGAGCTGGGTTCAGTGGAGACATGAAATGGGGTTTTTAGCCAGTAGAGTTCTTGCTAAACTACCTGATCTGGAAAATACAAACTTTCTTTGAGTGTTGTCTGCTCTCAAGAAGCAGAAATTAGAAAAAGGGGAAACACCCCCCCCCACCCCCCCCCCAAATCTTTGTGATTCTTTCTGTATTTGTCTCTGATCACTGAGGACAGCAGTTTAAAAGCTGTCCTTAGCGAGCCTCCTTTCCTGATCCCTATCGATTCGGTGATCTTGCACTTCACTGGGGGTGACATCAGAAGTGTTTCCGCGTTAGTAGACTGCAGCGTGGAGGATAACGGCTGGGGGCAGCTGTGCGGGTGTCCCTTACCAGACCAGTCGCCTACAGAAAAGATGTCTCCTAAATTTCTGAGGTGTAAAGTGAGTTCTAGTGGCTTTTTTTTTTTTTTCCTACCTGGAACTGAGGGTTACTAATACTCCTCAGCCTGGGGTTATGTGAGGTGCTATAACAGCATTTGAGGCTGGAAGGTATGTTTGCCTTGCTCAACTTTCCTGCTTGTCTTTTTGTAAATGCTCTCCATTTTTAGAAGTCTCTCCTATTTGGGGCCAGACTATTAGCAGGCAGAAGCAAATGTAACTTCTGCTGATAATTGTACACTCCATTTACAGTTGGACCTAGGAAATGTGCTAATTGCTGCAAATATCGATGGGGTTATTCAGATTTTTATTACATAGGAGATTTAAGAAACAAATTTTTCTTTCTTTTGCAAGAAATGAATAAGTATAAAAATTTAATAAGAAGAACGGTTAATTCTGTAGTCTCCAGTGGAAAATGGTACTCTGTAAAACATAGTTGGTAGTTGAATTTAATTTTAACCATAGTGAAGGCTTGCGTAGAAGCACTTGTGTTTGAGTGTAAACATTTCACTAAAATTGTTAAAGTAATTCCTGAATGAAGACACGGCTTGGAGGTTTTGCCTTCTTGTGTGTTGTAGAAGATAAGATTTGTTTAAATACACAAAGCAGAAGTATTGACTGAGTTTTCAGTCAGTGATTTCAGTTTTATATGCAAACTCTTGTATCAGTTGTTAGTGCTGGTGGCAAACATCCCTAAAATCCGGGGTCATCTTAGCATGTCAGACTCAGTGGGATGTTTTTTCTTTTGAAGGGTGTTATTTATTATTTACTAAAAGCAGGATGTTGAGTGCCTCCCTTTGATAGAGGAGATTGCTTTTGGTGTGCTTTGGGTACTCGATCACTTCCCTCCAATGCCAAAGATGAATCTATAGTAAATATAGGAGGAAATGTATGATGCAGAAGTTCTGAGGAGCAAATACATAATAATTCTGAGTGGCTGAGAAACAATAGATAACGTGTCAACACGTTAATTGCATGGAAGTTTTGGAACATGATGTTCTAGCCCTCGACCGTGCCTTTGCTGGATAGATCGTTTGCATTTATTTAAAGAAAAATCAGTCATGGAAATAATACTGTTCTATTTTTAAAGCTGGAATCTAAGAGAAATATTTTAAGGTTTTAGAGTGACAACTTCCATTTGTCATACGAAGTTTTAGTGAGTGTTCTGAAGTCACTATCTTTTAGGACAGTTTAAGGCCTTACAGATCTTGTTCTAGTTCTGTAAATCATGTAATCTAGCCATTTTAGTGGTGATGAACAATTGATTTAGTGATGACATTTTATGGCTTTCATTTGCAGATGGTATCTACCTCTACGGGCAAGATATCCGTTGCCTGTAGAGGTGATTTCGGGAGGCACGAGGCCTTAAAGTTTACCTCGTGTTGACTGTGGGAGGTCCAGATTTAGGCTAACAGCGCATCTGTGGGGTTGTTTAGATACCTTTGTACTTACGCTGTCGCAGTTAAATGCTTTGCGTGAGTGGGCAAACTATTAGAAAATGAGTAGTAAGGAAGTAATCCAGAACAGATGGATGGCTAGCCAAAATGATTGAAAGGGCTCTTTCTTCCTCTGGTTTTCATTCTCTCTGTGAAATTAGGTAACTAACCTTTTTGCTGTTTTAAAGAGCCAAAGAGTTTCTGAGTTGTGTATAAAATCTGTATTGTTCAGTCGCATCAAACCTGTTACATGCATTTGCCTTCAATACCTGCTTAAAAGCCTTGTGTTTTTCATTTTCTCAGGGGGCTTCACTGAACCGTACTTCTGTTTTACCAGCAGACTTTCAGCGTAGAGGGTAATTAGCTTCTTAGGGTCTACCAAAGTGGTTGTAAAAGAATACATAAGTACAACAAATACATTTTTTTTATGCAGGTTAAAAAGTTATGTATTTATGGGTTGAACTGTGTGCAGCATAAGATGTGGATAGTATAAAAACCCGAATATCTGTTGCTCCCAGGCTCCTGTACCCACCAGTCACCTATGGGACATGGTTACTGAAGAAGGAAGCCAACTGTGTGTAAATTCTCACACTTACTGAGCTGCTTCTCATCTGTCCACTGTGTCCTTGGTGCGCATGCTGTTCTCCAAACACAGATCCCCCTGCTACAGAGCTGGAAGTTTAAATTCTATATAACACTGCTCCGTAGTAGTAGCATGAAAGGTTTATGGAAAGTCCATGCCTAGGAATAAATCTGACAAGCGCTTGTTTACACTGTATTATCATTTGTATCTTAAAGTCATGTATATGGAAAATGTTCTTCCTAATATACTACTTCCACTGTCTAGAACGTGTCTCTCTGTCTCTCATAAAAGTGTCCAGTGTTTAAGTGCCTCTGTAAATAATAAATGAAGAACTATAATTGAATATCTTGCCAAAACTCTTTCAGTTTCTCCTGGCAGGACTTTGATGTGAGCTGAAGGTCTTCAAATTCAAAAGGTAACAATCTCAGAATGAAGTATTTCACATAGGCGTGCCTTGCCAGCAGCAACTACTTCTGTAAATCATGCCAGCAGTACCTGAAGTTCCTTGGGTTACTGCAACTGGAGATGGCTGTGCCCCCAAATTATTTAAAGCTTTACAGTGCAAAATAAATCTTATCATTCTCTTTGGAAACTAAAATACAGCTGCTGTATATATCTCAGTAGGGCTGTAACGTTCTGACTTTTTTCTTCCCTGTCTCAATCAGTGCAAGCCAAGCAGGCAGTTGCGTTTCTGTGAATTTTTTTCCACATGTTCTTAGAGGAATCCTTCAAACAGTTTAATTTTGTAGCCATAGAGATACAGATGGACTAGGCAATGATCATCTTTGCATCTGAAACAAAGGAAGTACTGTTCTAGCTAAAATGTGACTGGTTCTTAATCAAAGGCTGGGAGTAGATGGAGAAGTTATTAAGACGTTTGTAAAGCAGCATGTAAAGTAGTTGTGCTTGCTTCAGTAGGATAACAATCTATTTGCTTTGCAGTTACCTCTTTTTAATCTTCATTAGCTGAACTAGAAGAGTTGAGAGCTGCATGTCAGACACTAAAGTGTGCAGTCGGTGTCATGCTGGACAGTTTCATACATGGGGGGAAAAAATGAAATGGCTAGAACAGATATCTGGAGAGGTGGTGGTTAGGTGGCTGTTAGGAAGGCACAGGTGAGCCTTTGGGGCAGGGGATGCAAGATCAGGCTCTCAGAGTAACAGTCACATTTCAGAGTGCCTGTAAAAGGAAGGATGTAAATATAAAAAGAATAGATTGCTGTGACTTTGGCAGCAGTGCAGAAAATGGGAAGGAAGAGCTTAAGAAAATGAATTAGAGCAAGGCAGCTGCATTTCGAGCCAACAGAGTGATGATGAAATAAGGGAAGTGGACAAAGAAGTGTGGAAAGCTGTATCTTTTGGGAAGGGTTAGATGAAACAATAGAGTGATGGGGGAAGTGGGGTGGCAAAGGGAAGGAGGAGAATACGGAGATGCAGAAGAGAGATTATAAAGAAAACTCTCTGAAGTTTGTGGTCATTATGGCCATAGCCATCAGTTTATACAGGTGAAGGGAAACTGCAGATGCTCCAATTGTAGCACAAAGTCTGAAACTAAATTGCTTTTAATACTTAATAGAAAGAAGTTACAGTTTCTTGGGGGGCTGAATGCTGGTATTTCACCAAAGGCTTTTTAAATCTCATTTGACATTCGGAGACTTTTTTATTTTTTTTTTGCCTCACAGTGCAGCCAAATTTTCTAACATCACTAAATTTTCCAACCTTTGCAAGAATGCTGAGCAAGTAAGATGCAGCAGAGAAAGTTCCCTTGCTGCCTGAAACACGTGTATGGCTTCCTGTGTGCGTGAGCACCGCTGGGTAGTTTTCAGGGTGATGCGTTGCCTGTGAGCTCCGGCTTGGGACCAGGAGGTCTTGAATTGTGCTCGTAAATCCAGTGTCCAGGTTTCACTGTGGAATGAGATCACATCTCTGCAGGCACGCTGGTATGTGCACCAGCTGCCCTCTCTGAAGTGCTATTGGGTTGCTCCTTCAAAAAGTTGTAAAGCACATGTATGCCATTTCTGCTTTTCAGACTGTGCTGACTGTATCCCTTAGGCAGAGTTGTTGAATGTTGCTAAAAATCTGGGTCACTGATGAGCATTGCAAGCAGCAATGCTCATCAGCAAAACAAACTGCCTTGTTACAAGCTGTACCCTTAGAGAGACTTGGGAATGTTCTTTGAAGGATGGATGTACCTTTTCATTTCATGTGTGTTTTCTAAAACACCTTCGCTACTCGTTAAATCAACTTGATGTATGTCTTTTGATGCATTATGTCTTACTGCTGTGGAGTTTAGAGGTCACTTGCTTTGGCATTTTCAGTTTCATCTTCCTTTGCTGCTTTGAGTGCTTGTGCAGCAGTGTGCAAAGTGAGATTGCTGATGGGTTTGAAATGAAATGGATGTTGCAGCAAACATGCCAATGCGAGAAGAATGATGTGTGGGAGAGAATAAGAGACCATGGTTATAAGAGGACTGCTCTGTGAGAAGTATTTTTTTTGTTGCAAGGGAGAAAATAATTTGAAGGGAAATGTGAATATTTACTGAGTTGTTTAAACTAATGCTGATTAATAACAATACTTATGTTTCAGCTTTTTTCTCTGGCGATGTCTTCTTTATACTAATGCCACTGTTTATGTTGTTATATAATCTGATTTCTCGGTTTGACTTTCACGGTATTGCTAGTACTTCATTATACACAGAAAATCCACTTTTTCTGGAAAATCCCTTCCTTCCCCAGTTTATTGGTGTGTTTATGAGTTTGTGACATCTGACAGCCTACTCCGTTTTCCTGTACTACTTCCACACATTTCCCAGTATGAGTAGTGCACGACAGAGATCGGATAATGCAAAAATAACGCAATGCCATTTGTATTTTAACAAGAAAAAAGCGCTGACTCTTTCTGGAAACTTAATTTGCTTCTCATGCAGGCTAAATTAACAATGAGAGCGTTTGAAGGCATGTTGTTTCTTCATTGCTTTGTTAATCTACGTCCCCACAGGACTTGCATCCCTGTATTTCTAGCCCAGGAAATGAGCGTTTTAATTGGAAATCAAAGAGTGGTTTAGCTTTCTGGGCTTACTTTTTGTAAGAATACAGACAGAAATTTGTAAGATGTAGGTAGGTACCTACTTGCTAGGAATAGGGACTGGTATTCTTTCTGGATAAACTGGTAAAAAAAGCTTTTCAAGTCAACTTCTAGCCGTGGCAACACTACAAAATTCTGGTTCATTCATTAACTTAGAGGAGAAACACAGCTATATATTCGATGTTACGAGTTGTGGGGCTGAATTCTGAGTTCCATACTGTTGAGAAATTCCTGAATATGGAGTTTTGTTAACAAAAGTTGTGACAACTTGTGTTCTTTGCCTTTTTGTGAAGCACATGTTTGTATGTCAGGATGCCTCGCACAAAGATACCCTGCTCAAATCTTCTATCCTTTTCAGTCATGCCATTTCAAAGATTTCAGGCAAAAATACATAGAGCTTTTTGAAAATCTATACTCAGAATCTGTTTGCAAAAAAAAATAAGTTACAGCTTGTTTTTGATAGAGAATCTTTTAGACAATTCTATTTGGGCAGTGAAGGACTAGCCAGGGAAACTCGATACTCAGGCTGTCTCTATCATGCCAGTACTTACCAAGGCAAAAAAATCAGACCTGTGCTGTAACACTTGAAAATACTTTTAAGGAATGCCTTTACGGTGAAGCGTCTCTCCATCCAACACCCTGCTGGTTCTGTTGTGACTTAGCGAATCAGTACATTTATATAATTTTGATAGCTGGCTTCTTACTGAGCTATATTGTACTCTTAAAATTCTGAGTCATATGCCTTGACATTTTATCACTTTCCTTGGCAGCCTTAAAAATCATAGATTGGACATAGCATCAGGCTTACAGTGCTGCTTTGTCCTTGAAATGTTGGCCTATAATCGACTATGGCTTTACCAGTGGTAGAAAAGCAGAAAATTGCCCCACGATGAAGATGCTCCTTTCTTCGGGTAGCTCTGGACGGTTAGGAACGTGACTGTCCTCATCGGGACAGTTCTTGGCACAGCTGTGAGCAGTGGCAGCTTCTCCCACCCTTCTCCCAGCTGCTGGCGCGTTGAGACGCGGAGCGCAGTTGTGGAGGCTGCAGAACGCTCGGTTCAGCTCTGCGGAGGGGTTGGAGAGCAGGGGGGGGTGAGAGGCAGCGGTGGCACGTTCTTCTGTGGATATTGCAGCGTGATGTTCTAGAAGGTGTTGCTTTTGCTTCTGGCTGCTGGTAGGGGAAATTTTGTAGGCCATATTCAAACTTTTCGAAGATTGACCGAAGACTCACAGCCTGGTCTCTCTAGGATATACTTTGTTACACACATAGTATGGGCTTTCTGCAGACTCCATCTTCTCTTAGGTGTTACTGTTAAAGCTGCTTTAAATTAGTCGGGTATACTCAAAGCGTACTGCTGCAAGTACTGGATGAAGGCCTTTTATTGTCTTGTTTGGTAAGAGGTGACTTTTTCTTGCCTCAGGAGCAGCATGCCTTGGCTTACGCTGTTCTAGTTCTAGATTGTTTTCCAGAGACACGGTGATCCTGAAAATTCACTGAATTCAGTGCCGCTGTTCAGAGCGTAAGCATCTTGTAGGCTCCATCTTTGTGCTGCAGATACGTAAATCATGTCAGACCATTTTGAGTCTGGAAACTGGGAAATAATCTTTGCAATAAAACGCTTTAGAGCATGTATTTGGCAAATTAGGAGACCTGTATTGGGCTGTTTTGAAAACCTGTGTATTACCGTTTTTGGCAGCTCACGGAGCAGGCTTGTGAGGTGTAAGCTGGTGGTTGAAGCTTTAGCATTTGCTTCATTATTTGCATTGTAGTCTCTTCTCATCTTCCTTAATCTTGGCAAAGTGAGCTGTAGCCCCAAAACACTGGTTGTGCATTGGGTGATTTAGGGCAGGGGAAAGAGCAATTCCTTGTCCATAAATTCGTTTCTTTGTCTTAGATCCACCAATCCGATGACCCCACTAACGTAGTCGTTACTGGACTGGTAAGGTGCCTAGGCTGCCTTGTCTCTCTAACAGCATTAGGAGTACGTAATTGGGATTTCGTTCAAGAAAGAAGTAGATACACCAAGCTGAAGATGATTGGCTGCTCTCTTTTAACAGACAAGTCTGAGAAGGAAAACCCATTCGAATCCCCTTTCATTCTGGATTGGTGGATCTGAAGCCCAGAAACAAAGTTTCAGGTAAGAAGTCACCCTGTACTATATCTCGCTGCTTCTGCTTAGATGAGTTTGTCCGCAAATTCAGTATCTTGCTTTAACTGCTTAATGTCCCTGAAGTGTTAGAACACACCAGGTTAGCTGCTGAGCTTACAGTAAGAAAGGGCACATTCAGTAAATACACGTGCAGTTTATTAGGAAATTGCAAATCTACTGCAAAAAAACAGACCTAGGAACATAAGGTAAAATTGCCTTCTGCGGAGCTGGAAAGCAGTATCTACAGGTACGGGGGCACTAAGCAAATGGATTACATACAAATCCTGCTTCTGAAAGGAGAAAGCAGCTGTACCAATACCTTTGTTAAACTTCAGTTGAGTTCAGGAAAGTAATAGCTGTCTGCTCTGATTTCTAGCCACGTCCTCGGGTGAGTTCATCAGAAATGTAGAGAACTTGTCTAGTTGTTCGTAGTACAAATTCCAGTAGTTTTATCCTGCTGAAAAGCCATTCAAAATTCTGTTGTGGACAGCACTTGGAGTCAGCCTTTTAAATCCTCCATGAGATTTCAATATAAAGTTCTGTTCCTAGTTGTTTTCAAAGCATAGCTGAGGCAGTTGTACGGCACGGTTTTCAAGAGGAGCTCTACAGTTATAGCGGGGTTATTTCAGAGTTAGAGGAGTATGGTTGTAGTTTGAGTCACATTCATCTGAGATTTTGAGATGACTGTAAAAGGCTACAACATGTTATCTTAAAGCTAAGTTTGGAAGAAAGCGCGTTAGGAAGGAAAAGTGTGTGCCTTAGGAAGGAAAGCCAGGTCCCTGGCTGATAAGAAAATAAAGTTACGTGAGTTAAGTATCTGGTGTAAATGGGAGACCTGCACCTCTCCTAATGCCCAGCTTTATTGTTAGTTGGTGCTTTAATGAACTTGGCAACTTATTTCTGAAGTTAGTGTGAAGCAGTGCGCTTCAATTCCTTTTGATAGTAATAGCAATAACACTAAGTTGCTTGAGTGTTCTCTTGTAGGCAGCTATTAAAGTGAATGCTAAGGCCTCAATATTTAATCTACTGTAGAAGAAACTCTCGTAGGTGCTGTTGATCTCCTGTATTGTTTTAGCTCTGCGTTTGTTTTGCTGGCATAGTATTTTTTGCAAAAATTGTACTTTAACTGATGAATATATATATATATATATATAATGAATTATTTATGCACAGGGTACTGTTGTTTTCTGGTTTGATTTTTTGAGTACTTGAATTTTATTTGATTAGGGTAGAGAAGTCTTGGGCATGCCTTTTTAGTGTAATTCTTTAAAAATAAATCGGATGGAAAATCTAAGGGAAATACTTATTAACCTTAGTCTGACACATTTCTTGCAGTCTTGTCTAACATCAAATTGGATTTGTCCCGCAGGCCAATCAGACTCAGCTTGGAGTTAACACTGCAAAATAACATCAGGGTGTGCCTTTTTCTAAAATGAGAGAATGGGGAGGCAAAAGTGAACTTTGCATCTTTAATGATGAAAACTGAAAAGAGGAAATAATTTAAAATACTCTGAGGGGAGAAAAAAGAGGAAGCATAGATGTGTACTGCTGATTAAGATCCCTGTTGTTATGATATTTAATACTGCTTAACTTTTTGAAACATGAAATAGTCCTATCAATGGTAGTAATAAAGATAAATTGAACTCGAGTACAAGTATATGCAGATTGGAGGCTTAGTTCTTGCTCAAGGTTTGAATCTTACATTTCAAAAAGTAAAATGTAAGTCAGCTATCAAAGGCTATGTAAATACTGCTCTGCAGCATTTGATGTACAAACCCTGAATGTGAAGCTAGAATTTTATTAGGTGCTGAGCCCAGACTTCACAGGCATTTAAACTCCTCAAGTTAAAGTGCTTGCTGCCTTGTCTGTAATAGATTTTTAGATGGGGTTAATATTTTTAGATTGCGCTTGGCTTCATCCTTAAAAGCTTAATACAGAAGAGAGTCTACGACAACTTTTAACATCTTAGACAAATTTCAGCCGCATTTTTCTAAATGTTTAACTTACTCAATATTTCTACTATTTCAGTTGGCAGTGCTAGGTCTCTTTTTAGTGTTTCTCATTCTTTTTTTTTTTTTTTTTTTTTTTTTTCCCAGTTATGATTTACTGTGAGCAGGTGTGCTGCTGTCTGTAGATGTCAACACCTCTGTTCCTGTTGCATAAGAGCATAGGAAAGCCATTCTTGTTTTGAAATGGCCTTTTTTATGTAATTTAGAGTATGTTAGTGCAGAAGGAATATCACACTTTTGGAGTTTTGAAACTGCTGAAATTAGGATATATTTACATGAAGGAGCCAAGGTTTAATCCAAATACTTGAGTATTTTGGAAAATTTAGGTGGTTTCAGTTAACATTGAGTGACTGACATAAACGTATTAGATGTTCTTCCTAGTCTTTTGTATCTTCCTGGAAACAGGATACTGCATCTTATGAGTTTTATTCTGATGAATAAATTATGGAGTAAGATTGTTGTTATATTCAAATAAAGCATTTAATCTTTTCTCCACTGAACCCGTATTCCTTTTGTAGCATTCATTTTGTTGTAGCAAACACGTACTTTGATCTTCAGGAGCAGAGTGGGACTGCGTTATCGATCAGCCTTCTGTGAATTCATTGTCCTATCTAGAAGAGCGGTGTGGTAATGAGGAGAATTTATCTGATAAATTATTTTCCCTTTGTCTTGCTTTAATTTCCTGATTCCTCACATAGTATTTTTCCCCAAATGCAAGAAGCTTACATGCAGATCTTGAATGGCTGTTGGAAGGTTGTAACCTTGAGTGATTTTTAGTTTGAATGGCAATTATTTATCTAGATTTTTCTAATGGAAGTGTGACCTATTGGTTACCTATTTTTTTAGAATGATCTGATAGCAGTAAAGGAAATATCAAATACATTTCACGAGTTAAAATGCTACTCTGTGGATTTTTATTTTTGAGAAATACACTTTTGCATTTGTAGTTTATCGAATGACAAAAAAATGCAAGAGTAAATTACATCTCAGACAACTTTCTTGACCTGAGCATGTAGCTGTTCTTAAATCAAAGCAGAACACTGATATGCATATGTAACACTCCGTGGATTTTGGAAGTACATCGTACGAATGGTACTCAACCAGCCTTCCAAATCAGGTACTCAAGACTGGATGTGGGATTGCATTTTGGCCATGGAAAAGGTAGTGATGTGATGCCACCAATTCCAACGAACTTGTATGGAGCATGTAAATACACTGCATCTCTCAAGGGACAACTTGGTTTTGAAATGAGAATAGGAAGAGTACAAAGTACTGCTATTGATCTGATCTGAAGTGTTTCTTCGTTTTTGAGTACCTCAGCAAAGATTTTAAATGTACCAAAATGTGCAGCGTAGTGAATGTGTTACCATGCCAAGCCAGGCTGTCACTTGTGGAACACGCGTATTTGTGTTACATGCATGCCCCCACACTCTATTTCTGATTACGTATTCACGCTTAAGAGTATACTTTGACATTTTTACTTTTCCACCTCTTGCAAATATTCAGACTACTTGTTCCAATATCTAGTTGGTTCAACACTGTTCTGCTTGTCACTATTTTGAATTGATCACTTAAGGTAAAAACACCAGGTAAGATGTGGATGATATCCCAGCTACCAAAAGGGGATGGAGTTTGAGTAGTTGGCAACTATTCCCTGCCGAGTGTAAAATAATACTGAAGGCCTTGGTACAGTGTTACTGCTTTATATTTTTTATGTCTAATTGTAGTTAATGCCGATTTTTGATAAAGTAAGGTCTGAGCTTGATATTAAGTTTGACTTGGAAGCATATAGCTTTCATAGATGATCATACTGTCCTTAAGTCTAGGTTTCCTTTTCAGAATACCCCTTTTTGCAATATTAAATCTGAACTACTGGGGGAATGCATCTGTCATTCCCAGCCATAGAGAGGGTTTTAAGTAACAGCAGTTACCCCTTGAATTTATCAATATTAAGTGTTAATAGAGATAAAGAAGTATCAGTTCTGTTGGTCCAGGCCTAAATCAAGGTAAACTAAACAGTAAATTGCTAATGTTGAATAGCATGTGAGTTTCCTGTAGCTAAAAACCTGAAGAGAATTCAGAATGAAGGTTGAAGTTTTTTGGTTGTTATCTTTTTTTGCCAGCCTGAATCTCTGTTTGTAGCCCTGTGGACATCCAGAACATGAACTAACCTTACTGAGGTACTGGTTTGTCGTCACAAGAAGGTTGGGAAAAGCATTTCAGACTTTGGGATTCGTAAACTTGAAGGATTTGTTAGGTTCTTACGTTCAATTTCATTTTGCAATAAACTGCATGAAAAAGAAGTGGTTGCAGGAGGAGTGAATTAATATAATTAGTCATGCTCCTTGGAAAAAAAATAGAGTAAGCTAGCTCCTTCATTTGTTTTACTGTAATATTCTTTGAAATTCTGAAATACCTCCCCATGCCAGTCTTTTTTTGGACTCTGCCTAGAAACTGATTTTCAAAAGCAAAGATGTTTCTGCCTTAAGGACAGAATTTCCCAAACTGTAAACACACCAATAAATTTTGATTCCTTAAATTATCTTGTATAAATAAAATGAATGTAATGAAAAATTTGGAGATCATAATTTTAACACTTTATAAAACTTCCAGCAATAAGACTTGGTTATGTAAATGCTGCTGTTCTTAATTATGACATTGCAATATTTCCATCCCTGCATATCAAAGGTGTATTAATTCGATCAGAAACACAGGCTACAGTCCGTATTTGTTCCTTGAGGAAATTAGTGGGCTTTATAGGATAAACGGGTGATTTTTTTTTTTTTTTTTTTTTTTAAAGGGGTAAGAAAGCGTGAGGATTTCCGTGTGACATAACTCTTAATTTCAGATGCACCAAAATGAAAGGTTTCTGGACATGTTACAGTGCTTTTACAAAATTTGCTTTTACATATTTTACAAAATATCACTGCTGTACTCCTATGAGAAGTCCTGAGTGAATGAAAACTTTGGATTGTTCAGGGGCTGATAGGTTGGTGGCTTTTTTTGGTGCATCTATCCTAAAAGTTACCACCTACAAAGTTGATTTATTGGAAGAACACTGCTGTGTGCTTTACTATTAATATATGAAGTTCTTAGCATCTGACCTTTAAAGACGTTGAAGCATATTCCTTTTTTACTGATCCTGCTGAGAATTTATAGTTTTGAATGTAAATGCAAGCATTTGCATAGGTTTCTTAAATTTGAGATTTTAGATTGAAACCTAAATCTTGAATTGTAATTCCTGAGGCTGGACCACCAAAAGAGTTCTTCGTGTACAGAATTAAAATGAATCATGTATTAATCTTTCCAAACATAAGGCATCTAAAAGACCGGAATGAGGCTTTCTCTATTTGTCTTTATTCTTTGAGTATCACTCAGTCCTTGCCATGAAGCTGTAAAAGCCCCTCTTTCATCTGCTTGCTCCTCCCCTACAAGTAGTGTGTTCAGGTGAACACACAGCTATCTTAATGTGAGTTGATTAAAACTCTGCATTGCAAATCAGCTTGTCCCCTAAAATTTGAGGGTTGGCCTTATGTTAGGCTGTATGGTTCTGTTGTCTGCCAGTGGGATTGACACTGGTTTATATGTACATTTAATGCTATGCCCATTGGCCGGTGTCATTTTACCTTTCCCAGACTTTATTAAGCAGTGCTGTATCTCCCTGGGATCCTGATGAAAGGCAAGTGGGAAGTGAAGGCATAAATTCAGGCTCCTGTTACGTAAAAATTAAATCTTTAGTGTGCCATTATGCTTTTCTTTATGACAGTTCCTATGCAAGCAGGGTCAAGAAAGAACATGTCAGTGAAGCGCGCAAATATTTGCACATTCCTGTTTTAGTGTGAAGTAGAATGCAATATTTAATTTGTAGTGTTGTGCAATATCATTGCTACAACTCAGTGTCCAGTGATTTTTTTATAAATCCTTTTATTCAGGGTTTTGTAATACTATGGAAAGGTTTTTGTGTGGCTTAAACTTGACATGGAAATGTCCTCTGTGTTTAATGTATTTTGAACTAAATTTTAAAATTGCTCTCAAGTTACCCATATTTCTCTTTAAATTCTTAAAATTCAGCTTATTTAGAGTAGTTCCTTAAAGAAAATGTAGTCTAATAACCTAAACCGGTGATTTTTTTAGCTTATAATTTGTGGACTCCTGTAGGTGTAGATTCATTACACAGATGATATACACAGTTTTGTACACCCTACCTGAAAATCTTAGGAGAGAAGTTTCTTGTGTTTCTCGATCAATGACATTTACTAAGTGATGTGAGCAGAATTAAAATTTTTACAGGGCCTGTATGTTTAAAAATGCAAAATTTTATTTGGGCTTTAATAAATACCTGCAGCAGTGCACTGAATTTTGATGGTTCAGGGTTGTGGAAACACCAATCAGTTATTGTGCCAAATAAGATTAAATAATGGAACAGATCAGAAAGGAAATTTCTTGAATTATATACACTTGTTTTGAAGCAGAGCTGTAAATGGCCTATATAAAGCTTTGCATCTTCGTGATCGGTGGGTTTGAACAGAACATCCTACCTTTCTTTAAAAATATGAAAATATTTTTTTTGGTGTCTTGTTGAAATTAAGGTAGTTTCCCTAATGTCACTAGAGGACTATCTTAGAACAATTCTGGGAACTAAATTTAAAGTGTTTGTGTGAGTACTTGGCAAAGTAAATTATTGCACAGTAATTATAGATATACAGGATTAATTACTTGATAGATAAATGAAAAATCACATTTCTCTAAAGTTTAAATAAGAAACTTTGAATAATATAAACCTGTGATTTATTTTGATATTGAAGGAAGAATAATACAATATAGAATAAATATGTTTATTTTTACCTCTGTCCATAAGGTATATACACCCACTCATCACGACAAGTGCATAATACAGAACATCCATATGGAATGCTGGATAAGAGGAGAGAGAATTCCAGTGTGGTTTGGTGTTGCTAGGGTCGTTCTTCTCCTGGTTTTGCTTTAGTTTCTCTCCTTAACATGGAGATGAAAATATTAGGCTTTCTTTTGTTTTATTCATAAGCTATGAAACAAACAAAAAAACCTTTTAAACCTTTTCAGTTGCTCTGGGCTCCCTCCTTTCCCTCATTACTGGCACAAATCACTTTCCCTGAGTCTTCACCTGCAGTTATTCCACTTTCAACTTTGATCTGTGTGGGATTTTTCTTTTAAAGCTTTGGTGTTTGTCATAACTAAATTGGAAGCCTGTGTGAAAAATATTGAAAGCAAAGTCTGCGCCAAGTTTTAGAGCTGGGTTTATACACTGCTTGATAGTGAGGAATTGAATCCTTTTCCCTAACTTTATCGGATGGTTATGTAGTGTGTATACTGTTCTGTCCTTAAAAGGAACTGTGAAATAATATCATGGAGCTATAAAACGTCTGGGGAGTCTGTCTGCATCAATTTTCTTCAGCTTTAGAAAAGAAACATAAAAGATTTCCAAACTTTCCCTAAATTCTAGTGTCAGCCATGTCGAGTCTGGTAGTTGAGCTTGGTTCTTTCTGGCTTGGGTGGTGGTATGAATAATAAATGTAGTTAGGGTGTAATTTACCTTTAGGATATCCTCAACTGATAATACAATTGTTTTTCCCCAATAACCCATTTGATCAGGATACCATGCACCTTGAATAAGCAGAATTTGGTCTTGCAATATGAACTTAGCTAGGTGTTGTTCCTCTCTAAAAAATACTTTTTGGTCATTAGTGTCCCAGTACATAGACTGTAACCTCAGAAGTTACTGTCAGCTTTGCTGTTGGAATAAATAAGTGCAAATTGTTTGAGAAAGTTGAGGCAGTGTGGGGTGCCAATCCTTAATTACTGAAGCTCCTCCAGGTTGTATTCTAAAGACTTGCCACCCTAATGAAAAGCTCCTGCACTTCTGTTCCCCAAGGGTGACTGCCAAGGTAAAAACCTCGCAAGCAATTACGGCCAGGCCAGTTTGCTGAGTAAGGCACCTTCCCCCATTGCAGCAGAACTTCTTTTGTCGGTAGGCATGTGTGGATGCATTGCTGAACTGATGGACCCAAACTGTAACAACTCTGACACTACTGGTAGTAATTTAAAATGTTCAGCTGGGCACTAAAGCTAAGTGGTTGCAAATGAGGCAAATCAGCTCGTTATCCTTCATAGCACAGAGGGGTGGCTTATTTTCTGAAAAGGATCTTCAGTCGTTATTTTACCCTTGGCTGCTAACCTTGTGATTAATGTAGAAATAACATAGATAAGTACCCACGTTAACATACTAATGAGTTGCCTGCCTTGAGTGATTTGTTGTGGCATCTAACTGCTTCTTCTCTTCCTTCCTTTTTGTCACCCTGCAGTGTTCTGTGCCAAGGTCTTTGTGGCTAGGCTGCTCCAACCTGGTAGAGAGCATGTGCGCACTGAGATGCCTGCAGAGCATGCCCAGTGTCAGATGTCTCCAGGTGCCTTTCTTCTTTCTTGTTGTAAATGTTATGCGTATGCTGTTGAACATTTGTTAAACTCTCAGGACTCTGTTTAATCAAATTGTTAAGTCTGCTAAATGTTTTTTGTGCATCCTTTTCTGAAATCTTCTACTTAACTGCATTGTAGGAGTGAATCTTAAGAGGGCTTTCTGTACAGTAGGCTCTTGCGGGGGGTGGTGAGCTTTTGTGTTTTATTGCCTGTTTACTGAAGTTGTGATATAAGTAGCATAGTTGTGCATGTTGCCTGCTACGTTTTGCTTTGTCATTTAATTAAAAATAACACAGTGAGCTTTGCCATTTCTCTTAAATTGCAATGAACTGACTAGCCTGTAATTTTTGTGTGATTTAATTTAGAAAGGATAAGCTTTTTATTTTCTACTAAGCGTGATCCTAGTTATAGCTTTATATTACAGTCGTTGCACATTGTTTCAATGCAGGATAGTTAGCACAGAGTCCTGGAGCTCTTTGGGTTACTCTGTTAAGTCAGCTTCTTAACTTTTTAAAAGTGAAGAACCAAGGGATGGGGGGTTTACTCTGCATAGAAGACCACTGAATCTCAAGTTCTCTGTTGATTTTCTTCTGGTAAGCTGTTGAAGCTGAGCCTGTGTAATTTATAGATGGGGGAATTACTGCTGTTTCTTCACTGGTTTGGGAGGGATTGAAAACAATAAAAAGGGAGATTTTGATACCAGTTAACAATTTTGGACTCCCAGGGTACTTACCTTGGAAAGAAAATGAAGAACATTGTGTGGCACTTCCTAATGTGTTTCTGAATGTAACATTTTTAGCAGAACATAACTATTATTTAATATTAGTATCTTTTATAACATAATAGCATTATTCAGTGGTTCAGTCTTTCAAGTGTACAGAATGAATACTTATAATAAATTGTTCTTGTGATTGAAAACTTAAACAAATTGAGTTTTGTTTACAGTCAGTCCATTTGAGTTCAGACACCGGATAACATGAATACCTTACCTTAGAGAGTAACCATTTATTTCAAAACCTCTCCTCTTGCCTGCAAAATGTGGCCGCTTGAATTCCAGCAAATCTGAGTTTCAGAATTAAAACTTTCTTCAAAATTTCTGTTCATATACAAACATTTTTTTTTTTTCTGTTTGAATGCTCTATGTTTCCAATTTTAAAACACTATTCAGAGGGGGGAGAAAAAAACCCTGTGATCAAGATGAATGTATAGCTAGATAATAAATTTTTGTAGAAATTGGTACTGCCTCATGGCCGAATAATGGTTATAGTAGATGCTTATATTCATGACAGGTCAAAGACACAGAGGTTTGGTGTCTGTCTTGGGAATACTTACAAGCTAGTTCTAATAAAAGATCTTCCCACTCTCTTTCCCTGATCTCAGCATTCGCCCCCTCACTGGAAAGGTAAACCAAAACTTTTTTCATGGAAATTCTGAAAAATTTTCTCCTGCGACCCAACTTGTCAGTGGCCAAAGGGCATCTCAGAATTCTTCATCAAGCGATTATAGTTGTTTTTAAGCTGGATAGTGATGTTGGGAGTAGGTTGGATGGAGTCTGGTAGGACGGGCTGGTAATTGTTTCAAGGCTTGTTAACAAACCCTGGCAGGGGCTGTGAGCAGCGAGCCGAGACAAGGGCTGCTTTGCCGTCCGGAGGCTGTTCTTCCGTGCAGACCCAGGGCTGCAATCCTACACTTTCCTGCTTAATCTTTTTACCTCCTCTCTACCCGACTTCTGAATTTGTGACTATATTGAACAGTTTGAGAACTGTTTCAGCATAGGAGCAGTTTTGCTGTTAATAACTGTCTTTTAAATGGTAGGTGTAGATCTTGGTTTCATCGACTCCTAGCCTTGGGGAGGGCTAGCTGCTGGACCCCCACACAGTGAATTTCAGAAATGTTCATCAGGCTGAGGGGCTCCTTAACAAGCTCAGGTTCCCTGCTGCAGGCAAGTGCATTTCTGCAAATACCTGCTTTGGGGATTGCAAGGACACCTTCATGATGAATCTGAGAACTTTGACTGCCCCAAGTTTGTTATAAATCAGCTCTCTGGAAATATCCGTTAGCACATCATGACAAATAAACTGTTTTTTCCCCCAGCTGAACTTTTTATTAAAACAATATTGCAAACAGAAAAATCTGTTGATTCAGTTGAAATAATAGTAAACCTATTCATTATGAACATTTTTTTTCTTTCTGTTACAGTATCTATCAGTAGGTACATAGTAGTTAACTGTAAATTGAACAGGTGAAAGCTCAGACCGGGGTGGGCAGTAGATGAATTGATGCAGTATACATTGTATTGCAAACTTCTGTTGATAATATTGATTGCAGGATAAAATACCCAGCAGTTTGTTCATGAACCTACTGCTTTATACACAAGATTTTTGGAAACCTGTTATCACACAGATGTGGTGTCATATAATTAAAAACCATAGCTAATGCATCTGTTATGTCAGGTCATGTAATTTTGACAAATTTCTCAAACCTGTACTATTTTCAGGAATTGTTATGAATCTGTCAGCTTTCACAAAAAATTCCAGTTGAAGTACGAGTTAATGTGTAAGCTTTTTGTTCCATGTGCCTGTAGGAATTTAACAACTCCAGAACATTTTTAACTGTATAATAGTAACAGCTGACAGGGTTAACAAATTTTAGTAATAAAGTACATGACTTCAAGGACAACCACATTGTTCAAGCTGGTGGGATTGCTTTGAAGCTGTTGGGAGCTGAGTGTGTAGGAAGAAACAATTCTCTATCCAGCCTGCTGCACTTCAGGAGTTTCTGAGGAGGGATTTCACCAGGGTGTTTGGCCCCTCCGTGTGTTGCGGGGCTTGTGCTTTTCTGCTGGCTGCACTCTCCTTGTGGGTTGTTTGGGGAATTAGAGGGATAACCGTCCCAAGCTGAGACCTATGGGGTATGCTACTTGGTAAGGTTGTAGATAGAGCTTTGCTGATTTAAATTTTGTTCCAAAATAAAGGCTGTTTAAAATTATTATTATTAAAGTCTGATTTTTGTAGAACTGCAACCAGGAGTAAGAGGTTTTGAATCTTTTAGTAGCATCTGTGGGTGATACTTAAAAAAAAAAAAGGTTCTCCTTTCAGGCGTGTGACTCAATGACGCCTGAAGGGGAACTTGGAAGCGAAAGTGGCACCAGCTGCTTTCCCCATTTTTTATTTTTGGTACCATGGCTTGCCCTTCATTATTTCCTGAGCTATAAGCCCACATGTAAAAACAGGTAGGGCATATACACCATATCTTCTGTAGCACACATTCAACTAGCGTAACAAGGATTAATAAAAAGTTGGAAGAAGGGAAATACAGAAGCCCTTCCGGATACATCTCTGGTGATTCACAGAAGTTAGCTGTTATCTGTGTGTGTTGTATGTGTAATTAGTGAATGGAACAGAAAGAAGGGGAAAAAACTTAGTCTTAAATCTGAAGCCCTTTAGAATTTATTCAGGAAGCTCTTATTCAGCCTTAGTGCTTTTTCAAACATTTAGGCTTCAGGTATAATCCACCATTAGTCTAAAAAGAGAAAGCGGAGATTAGGTTTACTTTCGCCTTTCCATAATGTTGTTAGCAATCATAAAACCTAACTAGGCTCTTCTAAAATCAAGCTGTACTATTTAAGCAAATACCTCTGATGCCAGTGGATTGGGGTTAGTGTTCCAATTCTCCATGATTAGTTCGGTTCTATATTCTGTACTTTTTTTCATTCAGTAAAATACCTTCATAGTTCTTGAAGTTTACTGGAGAAATACCTACTTTCTGCATTCAGTGAGCTGTTTAGTGAGTCGGGGAGAGAGAGAGAGATAATTTCATAAAAAATATTTATTCCTGTTTGTGGTACATGAAGTTTGCTCTCATCTATTCTGATTTTCAGTGTAATTCATATTATTTGGAAATAAAGTCCTGGACACTTATTATCACTTGTTATTATTGCATTGAAAAATATATATTAAATGCCAGTTCATAATACTTGAAACTACTATAGATTCTGAAGCCTTATTTTTAACTACTTAATTATCTTTAATAATGTTTTTGTACCAAGGAGCTTACCTTTATGAACACACTTTGATTCAAATAGCTACTGTTTTCATCCTCTTTGATATGGATTTGACTGCAAGATTAAAAGCATACTGGTCTTTTATTTAGGTGTTTAGAGAAACAGGTTCTATTACCAGTTGTGTAATGCAACCATATGGATACATCACCTTCCATAGCTTCATCCTCATGAATCATTACAGTAGTTTTAAACATATTTTGTCATGCTGATTTGGGAAATAGCTCCAACGGCTCTGTCACGTGAAGAGAAACGTCCAGTGTTCATAGTGTTCATTCTGTAGGTAAACATCTCCAGTGTGAATTGAAGACTAATCATTAAGCAAGAGAAGATAAATACTCAAATGTCACTTTGAATTATTGCATAATGTAGAATGTGATGAAATAGTGCTTGGGGAATAAACTATTAGATCGATGTAATGAAATTAACCTAGGAACCAAATACTGCTCAACCAACTTTTTCTTCCTTGCATTCAATTATACTTTTACTTGACTTCTTTTCAAAGAGATCATCGTATCTCTCTTCTAAAACTCTACTTAGTTTTTTTTCTTGCTTTAGACACCCCCCACCCAACATGTTGGCTTTTTTCTACAGCTTTCCATTTATCGTTCTTAAAATTTTCAGCTTAATTATATGTAGTGTCCTGTTCTTCCTTATATGTTCACGCATGGGGTGTGTAGCTTGGAGGCTTTAACAGAGCATTGATTCGCTACAGGAATAATGAATTCTCTCTTCTAGTGTGATAAGCCGACTTGTTCATCCAGAGGCCAGATTTTACAATTCATGTAGTGGCTTTCTCAGGCTTGAAGCTACCCTGAGTCCTCCCAGCCCCTTTGCCCAGTGGTCTGTAGGCTTGCGATAGTGTGTGACACTTTGTCTGTTCTTTATCCTTGACTTCTGCACAATGGGATGTCCAGCTCTGTAGGTTTT